ACAAGGATGATCAGGGGCCTGGAACATCCGCCCTATGAGGAGAGGCGGAGGGAGCTGGGCCTGTTCAGCCTCGAGAAGAGAAGGCTGAGAGGGGATCTAATCAGTGTATATAAGTACCTCAAGGGAGGCAGTGAAGAGGATGGTGCTGGCCTCTTTTCAGTGGTGGCCACCAACAGAACTAGAGGTAATGGCCACAAACCGAAGCACCAAAAGTTCTGCATGAACTTAAGGAAAAAATTTTTAACAGTGAGGGTGACAGAGCACTGGAACAGGCTGCCCAGAGAGGTTGTGGAGTCTCCTTCTCTGGAGATCTTCCAAACCCGCTTGGATGCAGTCCTGTGCCACATGCTCTAGGTGACCCTGCGTGTGCAGGGGGGTTGGACTAGATGACCTCTAGAGGTCCCTTCCAATCTTAAGCATTCTATGATTCCTATCTTCCTCTACAAAATTACCCCTCTGAGCTTTAGGTCACGTTCTACACAAGGACAATAGGTAACAGAAGGAAGCAGCACATATGGAGAGAATTAAAGGTGTGTGGTTTTGCCTCATGCATGGTTGCTGATCTTTTTTAGGACATCATAGTAACTGTTATAATTATTGTAGATTTTTTTTCTTTGAATTCAAATAAAAAGATCTGATACTTGAGGTATCTATAAGATATCCATGCAGAGAAAGGAAATGCTTTACTAGTATCAATAGGAAATGCTTATGCTCTTAATTATGGTATTTTTCTTCTAGAATTTAAACACTATAAACAACAGGGGGAGAGTGTAGGAAATAATAGATTTTAAAATGATTAGTAATTGAGCAATGCTGTTTAGATAGAAGTATTGATACCCATGTACTTTATGGTCCTAATCCTGGGAAGTTAATGCTTACATGGCACTTCAGTCGAACTGAAGTCAGAAAGGTTGTTCAGAGTGCATGCCCTTCCACACATTATATGTCTTTACCTGCCTACAGGGTAAAAGGCATCATTCTCTGGTCTTATCCCAAAGACCATTTCATATCATCTACAAATAGATAGGAACCTGATTAGGCTGAAGACACAAATGTAGCCAAGCATGATTCCAGCAACATTATGCCATTGGCGTCAGATGGGCCACATCTGCGTAAGATTTAAATAAGAGAAAGCAAAAAAACACTGATAAAAGAAGAAAGAAGGAATGAAAATACAATAAGAATGGTAGTCTGTTTTCTTGCATTGTTTTGCAATTTGTAAAGTGCTTACCTTTTTAAGAGGGACAGTAAGACTGGAATAGGTAGCTAAGAGCACAAACACAAAATTAATGATAAAGAGCCAATCCAAGCTTTAGAGGCATTTGAGGAGACACTCATGATTTTGTAACACAGATCCCTCTCTTTTATCCCAAGCCACTAGAAGAAAGGTTATTTATCACACAGACACACAGTAAACCAATGTGAGATAGATGGTGAGAGATTGCAAAATACTAAGCATGTTATGAACAGCAGCAAGATACAACATGGCCAGCACAGAATTAGGCAGTACTTCAGAAATAAGTCAAGGGAATACAAATGGTGTTAGTAAAGGGATTTGAGGAAAGCAGCTATCAATCAGAGCTGCAGTCCACAACAAGAAGTATATGTTAGCTAAGAATATTGGAAAGTTAGAATTGGGAGATTAAAGAGGAAGAGAGATTCTCCTTTTCAAAGGCTTGAATATAGTGCTCAAGCCACCAGAGGACTTAGACCATATATAATTTCACATTTTACTGGAAAATCATAAAATGCTGTGGGAATGGTGTAACCATCTGCAAAATCAGGACAGTGAGTATAGTTCTGTATTTATTACCTTAACTTATTACCTTAATGCAAATTCTCTCAGATTTTTATTAAACTACTAATTACAGCTAAATGCTGTATAGTACACTCTTGCTCACAGTTTAATGCAAATGATCCTGCTGTTTTTTAATCAGTCATCTGGAATTCAAGGTAAAGTGGAAACAAGGGGAAAGTATTAATAAAAACTTGGAGAATAGCATCTTCACCCATAAAAATAATGTTGCCAGACTGTAGTTTTCTGTCCTCCTTTAATTACACTGAAGCAGTAAGAGGAAAACACTGATTTTATTCAGAGTAGAAAACACAGCCATTTGAAGAGACAGCTAATTTGAATAAATAAACAATGTGGAAGAGAATATTTTAATCAGCTTTTTTATTAAAGCTGTCTCTATCTTTGCTTTCCTCTGCTATGCTGACATGCTGGTTACACTTGGACCAATAAATTATAATTATTTTAACCACCATCTATAAAGAGAAGATTGCCAATGCAATGCTCAGCCAAATTATGTGATTTGAATACACCAACAGCAAAAAGTGCTGATAAGCCCATATTCAGACCAATTTTAAGCAAACACATCTCTCTAACTTGGTAAGCTGGTCTTCAACTCTTCAAGTTACACATGCTGCAGAGACCACATGAAGTCCTGACCCAAATCTCTGGGCATGCAGTGTACACCCTTCTCCCTCTCCCTGAGCAAGCAGGTCATACAGGCATCCTACATCCATTGAGGCCAGTGCTCTGAACCTGCTTCTGACCAAGGGCAACTGCCCAAGTCAACTCCTCAGGTCTCCTAGGACACTTGAAGTTGTCTCCTAGTCAGTCAGTTTAAGTGCAGTTAATGCTAGAAACACAGTGGAGATACACCAAGTTCTCAATCTCTAATATGAATATAAGAGTATTACCAAACCTATGGAATCTGTGAAACACGTGCAGCTGTAACAGACAATTCCCCTTCTTGAGCACACCTACTGAAATTTCCTACCTGCTCACCCAAGCTTCTGGGATGTTATGGGCAGCATAAACAGTGAAGCTGAGCTGGGAATCTAGACTGATGTCTGCACACGAAGGACTTTTAGGTATGTTGGCAAGCTGAAAACCTGTATCAAAGCTGCTGCTGTAAACATGGATGAGACAAGAGATGGCCAAGGAGAGCTCAGTCACAGCATCTTCTATTAATGCTGAAAGAGGGAGAGAAATAAATAAAGGTTAGCAATAGGTCATTTGTGAAGAAGCATATTTATCTTAAACCATCAGTTATAGGTTTGAAATGCTTCCTAATAAAATTTAATTAAAATGACATAACCTACCAACTGAAGCCAATTAGCCATCTGTGCTTCTGAAACCAGCCTTAGCTCACTTCTGTGTATCATTAACAGTCTTTCATTATAATACCTTCAAATTAAGGCATTTTCAAAGTAAGTCTTTTAAACTACAGCAACTCAGAATGTGTCTCATATATATCATTTTAGTCTCTTCTTATTATTATGTAGGGATTTTTATTATGTAGGCATTTTACAATTTCTGCAGCTACATGGCTACTTATTTGAAGGGAACCAGCAACACCGCAAAAGAGTGGAGAAAAGGCATTGATTTAAGACTACATAGCTGTTGCAACTGTAGGTAGACAACTCATGAAATATATATAATAGCAGCCTCACTCAAGCATACTCAGCATTCAGATAGTCATGGATTGGCTGTAATGCTCCACAATGACAGAAAGATACATATCTACAAGGATATGTCAAGTGCAGGCAGCACCTCATTTATATCCCACTTTTATTTACATTATTTCATTTGGCTTCAGCTCTGCGTTGCTCTTTTTCTGCAATCACTGGCACATGTTTCTGGAGCAGCTAGGGACTATGTCATTGTCAATGTAGATTAAAATCCCTGGGCCTGGCAGCCTCCATCGAGGGAGCAGAGCTGGTACAAGCAGTTCCTTGAATGCTCAGGCATGGAACAGCTGAGAGAGAAAGGGATGTGCATGTGTGTCAGGGTGCACTGCATCGGTCCCGGAGCAGGATGCTCTGTCTTCCCAGAGGGCTACCTGAATTCTTGCTCTTTTCCTCCATCTCCCATGTGTCTACATGGTCAAGAACGCACTTTCAACACCTTTGGTCACAATTCCTAACATATTTTTCTATACCATTTCCTGTCACAGCTCTCAAGAGAATCCTGCCCTACATCAGATACAGATCCAGCTGTTCAGTGGACTTAGCCCTCATCTTCCTGCTAGAAACATCAAAGAACCCATCCTAAGACTTCTAGTTTCTATCTTTTGCATTTAAACTAGCAAATACTCCAGATATTTGTCTCACAAAATCCATGGGTAAAACTGACGGATATATTTCAGTCTTCATTTAAAACTAAACAGATTTCAAATATGTCGTGGCACAAGAATACGTAACATTACAATAGTTTGACATATACTGGAGTTGGCTCCTGGAAATACTGCATGGAAATACTGCATGGAAATACTGCACCACATTACATTCATGAAGGACTGGCTACAATTTTTGTAATGTTTGAATCATCTTCCACATATGACAACAAAACAATTTTAGAGATTAATAGGATAACAAAACCTATTTTTTACTTCCTGTTTTATATATACACTTCTATACCTAGTATTATATTTCTATCAACTTTTTATTCATTCTCTTATATTATTTCTTCAATTTATCCTCCTTTACCACAATTGTTCCAAATATATCTTTTGCTCTAATACATTTTCCCTAGGATACCATTTGATTCTCTCTTGGATTTGTCACAACTTAGTAGCTTCCAAACTAAAAGTTAAAGCTTGCATTGGATTCTTCTACATTCCAAGTAATTAACCACAACAATTTGCGTAAAACCTTCTTAAAGAAGACTTCAATGGATTATGATTTTAGTACTGTAAGGAGAATATTCTATTTGATGAAATGAAGATTTTGAATCAACACTTTCTATTTTATCTAAAAAATAAGACCCTGTATAAGGAGAAATAAGTATTTTGGAAACTCCCTGTCTCCATCCGAAGATGGGTAGATATAATAGTGAGTCCTTATTTATGCAAATTGACCCACTAAAGTGAATAGTTGCAGAATAGAACCTTTCCTCTCCTGTGTAAAAGGGTGAAATACAGTTCAGAATCTTCATAAAATTCCCGGTGTTTGTTGAAACATGCCCTTTGGCTAGCAGCAGATTTTACACAATCCATAATGTAGACTGTAAGGGATTGCTTCAAATTCTGTCTCCAGAACAAGAGGAAACATATCATATGTTAACCAAACAACAGCAAGAAGGGAAAACTCCTTGGACTAAAAATAAAATACCCAAACATACACAGTATTGTAATGGAAAAGTATTTTCCAACATAGAAAATTCCCAAACGCTGGGCAAAGAAGAAACTAAGGTGCAATTTGCCTATCCTCAGATCCAAAGCATCTTGTCCATGGGCCATATTTGCAGAAGAATTATTCTAAACAGTTAGCTGTGAGAAAAAAAAAAAAAAGAAAAAAAAAAGAAAGAAAAGGAATGCCAGATTCTGACAGAACCTGCCCATCCTGCAAGATCCATGCAGCTACATGGCACAGGGTTAAAAGTCCTCACTTAGCTACAGAAAATGTCAGGGAGGCTGCCTGCTGAAGGGGGCTGGAAAGCTCTGTTCTTGTTCTCTCTCTCAAAATAAATTCCATCTTTTGCCCAAGGGCTTCTCGCTTCTGTGCCCAAGTGCAGAAGCTGAGCTGGTTTTGGAAGGGCTCAGGGGCACAACAGTCTGGTTCTCTTGCTAAGACGGGGGCAATCCGTCTGTCTGCTAGAAAAGGGAGACAAATGAAACTTCAGCACTGTGAGCAAATGCACAAGTACAACCTGGTCTGTAGCTGTAAGATTTTTTTCTACGTTTGTTTTCTTACTCTCGTCAGCTCTCAGTTTAAAACCACTCCGTGGGCTCCGGACTACAGTCATGCTTTTTACTCCCTGCTCCCTGCTTGTTAAGCCCAGTGTCAATGAATTAAATTACAGTCAAACATTTTAGCTAGTTTGTGAGTGTCCATTACTCACAAGGGCTACTCAACATCTTCTCCCTGTAGTTTTGTGAGCTGCTGAATAAGATTTAGTGTGCTGAGATTACATCACCTAGATAATCTTACTGCTTTTTATGACTTTTATGATTCATATGTCTAAAATGAGAAAGGAATATAATGTTTCACTGATTTACGCAGCAAAGGGTGTAAACTTCCTACAGCAGATCCACAGCTTTAAATATGCCAGTCTATTTTTCAGAAAGGTATCCCACGCACGGTTAGTACCTAGAGGAATGACGAGTACACCACATCACAAAGTGGACCGAGACCAAGATTAATAAACTCACAACCTCAAGACTTGTAATTTATTTCTGGTATGAAATTAGTTAGCATCACTTCTCACTGCTACCTTGGCAGAAATGAGATGAGATCAAGGGAAGCGAATGCTAGCCTAGGCAAAAATCAATACATGGCTCCCAGATATGCTTATTTTTGACGTGTTCCTTGTAAACGAAATCTGTAGAAATTAATTTCACTCTTGGTGAGAAATAAAATAATCCATGCAGTCCTCCAAAGTGTTTATAAATATACATGCACGTGCCATCAAGATTTGGTAAAGAACACACTAGATGATTATTCCTTGCAGCAGACCATTTTCTTTCTTCTTCTCAGTCCAGTATTACGATTCATACATCAGTTCAGTGTCAGGCCTTCTAACAAAGTAGGTGTTTTGCTGTTAATGTACTACCAGATTATATCAATTTAATATGCCATGCCTGATCCTTTGCACATATTTTCTCCAGGTAAAACATGAAAAATATTTGGTTGAACAGAATCTTGGAGGAAGGATTAATACTCTTGTGACACTTTAAATATATTTTGGAAAATGCAAGCATAATATTGTTCCTTCCCATTTATTTTCAGAGAGACGAAGAAGAGCAAGGTCCTAAAAACAGTTTCTGTCCATATTAAATAATAATAATAATAGTAATAATAATAATAATAAAAGCTAAGTAGTGTTAAATAGATTATCATAACGGTCTAATTATGGCTTGCTAAGGAAGCAGCAAGACATTAAGATATTATGATGCAAAAACTGATGAGATACAGAGTTTCCAAGCACCAGTATTTATGCAATTTTTGGAATGCTATCTCCTTGTTTCCTCTTATTACATAAAGAATCCTATGTATTAATTCTTGAAAAATACTTTACACCTACTTCACACCTTTAAATATAATGGCAAGTTCATTAAGCATATCATCATCAAGATATCCCTTTCCACATTCAGTCCAAAAGA